ACAAAAACTATATAATCGCATCCTACGTCTTAAGTGTTCATATAACGTTAAATATTTCAGTGTTTAATAATACTGTTATGACTAAAGCATACCAATATAGCTTTTTTATACAAAAATCCAACCTCAAAAGTTTGGAGAATTACATCTATTACCCAAGTTGTATTGAAATGTATTACCGGAAAGTGCACGAAACCGGCTTCATTCCCTAGTTTTCCACCCTTAGAGGTGGAATATTTTCTTGAATTTTAAATGGGACAACTGACGCATCCTCTTTCCAACAAAAAAAGTATCGCGCAACATATATACGAAAAAAATATAGTCGAATCGCAAACCTCCTCCTTTTTTTTTAATCAATACAGAGTACAAAAAAACCGACTTCAAAAGTTTGTGGAATTACATTGTGAAATTGGTTACCGGAAAGTGCGCGAAACCGGATTCATCCCCTAGTTTGCCACCTTTAGAGGTGGAATATTTTCTTTAAATTGAAATGGAACCAATACCTGCCAATTCTAAGGTACCCTCTTTCCAACAAAAAAAGAATTATACATAAAAAAATATAGTCGAATTGAGGGCTTCTTTTTAATATATAATTTTATGTTTTTATGTTGTTTATAATATCGGAAGATATGAAGAGTGTGATAAATTTGAAAAAGATGCCACTAGAATTTAAGTTACAAATTAATGAAGTAGCAAATGAATTTGACTTATATACTTTGTCAGGAAACGTATTTATTTATGTTAAATTAATGGTGTTGGTTTTGACTTATACAGAAGTGTGCTTTAGACCACCGACGACGACTCTAGATATGCAAGTATAATCGTAACTCAACATTGTGGAATTTGAGAAAACAACTTGAAAATACTAACTGAAACCAATATATATCTATATTCTAATTTATAAATGGACAAATAAGTAAAATAATAAATCGCATTATTCGCAATAAGATCTTTTCTGTATATTTTTTAATTTTCAAATTGTGTTTTCTCAATTCCACAATTTTGCGACTTTTTTAAGCCTATACTGTCCCACTGCTGGGCAAAGGCGTCCCACCCCTCTCTCCACACCTTACTGTTTTGCGCCAATGAGGTCCTGTCTTTTAGTTGCGCGTCTAGCTCGTCTCTCCATCGCCGCTGTGGCCTGCCGCATGGTCTGTTTCTATCTTTGGAGATCCATTTTGTGGTGACCTTTGCCCATGACTCGTCGACATACGGCAAACGTGACCCGCCCAGTCCAATTTTAGTTTACCCGCTTGTTGGCCCACATCTACGATTCGTTTTGGAGAGCAGCAGCTTGATTTTGATTGCCTCTCCCGAACGGAAACTGCGTCTTTTCCGAGTCGAGGCGCATAATTGCGATTCACAACTGGCCCATGGGAAATTTTTGACATTTCTAATCGGAACAATAGGTGATTTAACTCACAAATTAGAAATTTGAATCAAAAAAAGGGCGCTGATCACTGTACCTAATTCGGTCTGACAATTTGACTCCCAGAAAGCAGTACGATATGTAAATAAAAAAAAATGTTTGTACCGAAAATATTGTACTTTATTTTTTTTACAACGAATCTTAGAATTAATTATAAAACTAATTCGTTACAGCTAAACCTACGCGCAAGGCGAAATTGAACACAAGTTCGTCATTTTATTTATTTAGACTACGAAATACAGAGTAAGAGCGTTTACGCCCTACGTCCCATTCGTATCAGGGGGTAGACTCTCGATGTCCATCCGACATCCGTCCGAAACAATTACTGTCAAATAAGTGATATTCGACAAAATTAAAAGAGAAGTATCCAGTATGAAGCTTCATTTGCATCACGCGTCTTTTTATTTGGTCAAGTATTGCTTATTTAGCAGTAATTGTTTCGGACGGATTTTGGATAGAGATCGAGAGTAGACCTGGGGGTGGTTTCGAGTCCGATAAATGACAGTCCGAAATGTCACAGAGATCATTTCCTTCCCTCATGGAGGAATGGCATAGTTACGTCAAAAATGTTTATTGCTCCATTAGATACAGAAAATTCGACTAATATTGTCGATAGAAGTACAGAAATTGGAGAGGATGTGGGCTATTTTTAACCGACTTCAAAAAAGGAGGTTCTCAATTCGACTGTGTTTTTTTTTTTTTTTTTTGTATGTATGTTACGCGATAACTCCGGTATTTGTGAACCGATTTTCATGATTCTTTTTTTGTTGGAAAGGGGGTACTTCAATAGTGGTCCCATTTCATTTTGAAGGAAATCATCCACCTCTAAGGGTGGCTGTTCACGCATGAAGATTAATTTTTATAAATAGCGCCTAACTTTAATTTATGAGCAATTACTTTTAGCAATTATTTAGTTGATTTTGCTATTAGAACCTATTTTTATTATCTCCAGTATCAAGTCCTGTATAGTGGCGAACTAGGGGATATTTCAATGAAACTTAGCAAATAGACGTAATTCCACGTACTTTTGAGGTCGGTTTTTTTAGTACTCTGTACTGAGATTATTCTGTATCCAATAGAAGCAATATACATACATTTATGACGTAACTTCACTTATGTCATTCTTCCATGAGGGATGCGTTTTTATCTCTAGGTGTACAAGCGATATTCGTATTTTCTAGGACTTGAATAGGACTTAGTGCACAAGCGACATACGATGTAGGTCCGAGTTTTCTAGATTTGTACAATCACGGATACGAAACAAGTAGTTGATTACAAACATTTAAATTATTTGCTATCGTTAACGTTATTTACAATATAAGTGCAACAATTTTAGGGTTTGGTCGAAAATTAAATTAAACGACTGGATACTGAAATTACGTTTCTAATAGAGACTGCCGTGAGACTCGGACATTCTTCATCCATTTTTTCCCATTAAGTTAGGGACTTTTTTATAATATAAAATTACAAGTACATACTTATAGAACAAGTCTTGTGTGGGACACGGAGCACCGTAACAGTGTATTGTAGTACAGGTTCTGCTCCCTCACAATGGCCTAACACATTAAACCGATTGTGAACTGGCAACCGGTACTATCTCAATTTTGACAATTTTGCAGGATGAAGAAAAGAATTGTTTGCTTCATTTATATAGCATCTGGTTAGAAGTTAGTACAAGTTTAATGAAGTCGATTGTGGCGCCAAAATTAAATGTATCTGAGATGAAATTTTTTGCAACGCTGCGGAGTATGAAATAGTATTAAAAAGTGAAATTGCCAGTTCACAGACGATACATAAATTCATATAGCCTTAATGTTAAGATCAATGTCATTGTTTTAATAATAATATAATAACGCAACACGCTCATAGCCCCGCACTAGGAAAAACCTGTGTCTCGGGTGCCATAGACCACGCAGACAACCACAAATTACACCCAAACTCATGAGAGAAACAAATATAGGTCATACACATATTTCTCCTGGCCTGGGAAACGAACTCAGGACCTCTGCGTGGCAGTTCAGCATGCCGTTCGGCCACGGAGGCAATTAATGGTTATGTGATTGGCAATAAATGACTATTATTATTATATTAACTAAACTAACTTAGTTAAGTACTTAGGAGTCTATACTACTTCATCCCGAATTCAAATTTTTCCCCTACTTATACGGTTGATTTTGCTTGGGTCGAGCAGCAGAGACACAGGCTTTATTTCAGAATTAATTTTTTTACAAACGAAATATTAAAGCCATTTCGAAAATGTATATCGTATAGTACACGTGTTCTGTTGTTCAGGTTGATATAAAAAATACATCATTGGTATATGTACCTATTCAATATAGCGGTTTTCTCTTAAAATATTTTTATGTTTTCTATAATGAAAATTTTAAAGTATCGTGTTTTCACGCCATATTTGACCATATACTTTCAGTGTATATCATTGACTTACAATTATATGGACGTCGGGTCCGCGCTAAAAAGTGTCCGCACTTGTAAGGCGCTAAAATCGTATACAGAGCGCGACACTCCGCTTTAGTCTTCATTTGTTCTACGGACAGCGCGATACTGCGATGACATAACAATTTAAATTTCGAATAGGTTGACTTGGGACATTTTTTTCGTGGTTTTTGTATTAGACCCGTCGTCCATTTATTTGTAAGTCAATGGTGTATATCGTCAATTTTACTATATATTTTTTCCAAAGTCATTGATCTAACACTTTCACTGTTACGCGGTATCAACCAAAGCCGTTTGAGATAGCATAGACTCTTAAGTCGAATTTTTGCTCGACTTTTACGAACTGATCCAATGTCCTTTTTCATGAGCTTCCGCGGCAGTGCCTCGACGGTCATGGTCAGTTTCGACCGCTGCGGAAGCTCAGATACACGAGTTATCTGTTAAAGACTTTTGTATTTTTTACCTTTGGCTCACGACATTAAATTTTTGTTATATCATATACAGGCACAGAAGATGCTGAGATATCTGACCCCCTAGCAGATTTTAGGTTTGGATAGCCTTTTTACGCATTCAAAATGAATGAATTCCAGCTTTTGGTTAAGATTTGTATATATGTAATGTAATTAAAGATCAAATTAACTTAAAAAAATTCTTAAATCGTCAGTCACTAGTGATGCAATAAAGATGTCGTACCAAAATTAATTTTACGGTCTACAGGTTAAAGGTTTAGTTTGTTAAATACCTCTCTTCACACTGATCTACACTAAACCAAATAGACGTTTAAGGGCATCGACTGTACAATGAGAAGTTTTAAATTCCCGACCAAAAGGTTCGATTTTCCATGACAAAGTTAAAATACGAAAGGCAAATGTAATAACATTTTGTTCAACAATTCGTGGAATTAACTTACTGACAATCTTATACAATATTACTACACTACACTACTTAACACTTTCAAGATTTTAACACTTTTATAACACTTAAAAGAGGCACGAGTAATACTGTGACGCACACTGGAAGTTTTATAAACATTAACTGCTCAACCATTAGTACTTTATAACTCTTCGCTTTCACTGCACGGTATAAGCGCATGATGTAAATTTTCTATGGAAAGAAGGTTCTTTTTGTTTCAGCAAGTCCCTTGTGATTTTAGAAGTGAAGTAACACGCTCACTATAGGATACGTTCTGGTAACGTTTAAGTCTCGAAAATATCCAAACAGAGTTCCCTGTTTTGACGTTACTTCTTATTTACTTCTAAAAAAATGTGATGTTTGATTGTAAGCTGTGGTCTTAAACAATTTATTGTTTGCCTTATCACAACCCTGTCATACTTTATTTAAGGCGAAGTTATTGTTCATAATTAACACCGTCGTAGTCCAAGAGCAGCCTGGAGTGCGCCTTTTCGATGGCGAAACAGCACGAGACGATGGTTTCAAAACCAACGCACTGAAGATCATTCATGTAAATTTCGGAATCTCTCTGCACTACGATCTACACTTCAAATTTATACAGCCATGTTTTTGTTATTCTATTTATATATTGTCATTTAATGTCTCGCTGTGACATTTGGAGATAGGACATCCCCATTATCACGATAGGATCATCTGCGGGGATTGACAGTTCTCTGCACGGAAGACATGCCGTCCACAAAACGCGTGCGAAATAAGACGTTGGCGTTGTTGAACATGCCGTCTTTTAGGGATACAATAATAAACTGTAAACAAAAAAGGAAGTTTAAGAAGTAGAAGAAGAAGGGTCGTTTTAAGGTTTTAAGCTGATAAAGATTCTTGTAATTTTAACTGCTAGCCAACGAGCAGCAACCATAAAGAAACATTTTTATAAGCAATAATTTCAAAACCAGTGTAATAATAGCGCGTTCCAATTATGTCGTAACGTGTAATTTATCGTTACACGACTGTCGCGTCTAGCCTGTTCCCATATCACGACTATCTGTCGCGCACGTTTATTTTGTCGTTGAACGACTGCCGTGTCTAGCTGTTGCCGCTAGATCGCGACGACAATTAATCGGTTCACGGCAGCCGCCTTGTCGTTTGCACAACAGCATCGTTCGAAGCTACGATTATCTGTCGTCACATTTTTATCACGACGTTGTATTTACCGTCAGACGACTATCGTTCTAGCTCTTCCCATTGTCACGACAGTCTGTCGTCGTAACGTCAAAAAAGTCGTGAACGACAGTTAATCATGTTGTTTCAATGCGTTAGCAACTTCATTTAAATATACAAGTCACGACACCTTAAACTGCACGACTATCTGTCGTCACGACATAATGGGAACGCGCAAGCAATATTTTTTAAGCTATATTCTTGCAAGCGATCATCTTAAAAACACAGAGCGAAACAGTTAGAAATATTTTCAGGTTATCGCTCTTTTACACCAGGTGCAATCGATGTACGCATTAGGTTGGCCAGAAACGTACGCGTGGTTAATCAACCGGCATCGAAGAGACAGTATGCGAAAAGGATGGAAGCGGTACGCAACCTGCGAGTGGCGGAAGTGCTCCTTGATGATCTGGCCGATGTTCTGCGTGTGCGACAGGTCCAGCGCCGCGTCCACCTCGTCGAGGATGTAGAGCGGCGCGGGCTTGAACAGCAGCATGGCCAGCACCAGCGACAGCGCCACCAGCGAGCGCTGCCCGCCCGACAGCTCGCCCAGCGAGTCCTTCCACACGTTGTTGAAGCCCACTTTCACCTGTGCGCAAGTTTACACGCATTGTTCTTTTACACACTGCTGCCCGTAAAGCGTAACAATCATTCTATCCAATCTCAAGTCGTAAGTTAAGGACTGATGTTTCTTAGCCGCTTTCACTTGGATATCTAAAGCAATCTTGCTTGTACAGTTTACTCCGCGAATCCGATGTGTAAGTACTGCAAACAGGTGAGTGACTGGACAGTCTTCTTTTTTACGCTTAAACGACCACTCGAAACTACACTGTTGAATAATGCTATACTATAAAAGTTTAGGTAATTAGCTAAATATAAACAAACCATAATTAATGAGGTATTTTATGAGGAAGGCCTCAGAATTGGTAATGACCAAGTTACTTATTTTGTTGTTTTGTTTGTTGTTTGGTTGTCTATGTGTGTATCCATGGCACCCGCGACACAGGGTTTCCCTAGTGCGGGGCTATGTTGAGTGTGTGCGTTATTTATTTATTTATTTATTTACTTATTGTAAATTTATAATGAACATTTTGAAAATGGCTCTAAATATATGATAATATTTTCTGTTAATAAACAACATTTTGAACTACCTATTCAAAATACTAATAAATACTCAAATCCAAACGGCATAGGTTAAAAATTTAAACGATAAACAACCTAAAAATCCAGGATTTCGAAGCCTGTAAAAAAAGACAGCTAATAACATCAAATTCATCGAATTAACGTCAAATTCAACAATCAAATTAAAGAGTACGGCAGTAATACGACGTAAGAAACTCACTACTAAATATCGTATTTGACCGGTTAACCCGACGCCATTACAACTATAATACGTTTGCTTTGTCTGCAAGTAACAGCTGAAGTTTATTTACTTATAGTTATTTACCTAAACCTTTGTACTATAGACAACAAACTTTTTCAGTCACACTGAGGAGTGACGTTGTCCCCGAGTCCTTCTACATATTCAGTAACTCCAGATGCATGTCTAACGGCTGCGTTGACTATACGGTCGTAGCCAAAATAAAATGCAACCTAGCAAAGAAACTGACCTCCAGCCCATCCAAGACCGTAAGTCCGTCGGGAGGCCTTAGCTTAGCCTGCGCTCCGGACAGCAGAGTGCTGAAGATGGATCCGAAGTCCCGGTTCACCTGCTCGCACGCCGTCACCAGCGTCTTCTTCTTCTTCTCGTCCAGCTCCGCCATCACCTGCACCAGCTTCGCTCGATCTGCTTCCACTATCTTCTTTTTGCGTAATACGTCTGTGTACTGGAATGCACATAGTATACTTAAGACGAGTTACTGTTAGACTCAGAAGGAGAATTAGTACTCTGCTTATTTTTAGGATGAAAGGAACGAGGCGTGGACCGAAAACCAAGCACAGGATTGAAAAAAGTTTTGCTGAAGTCAGATTATCTGTTATTTGTTTAGTTCCGCACCTGCGCCATTTTGTCGTACGATTTTGACGCATTGCATACGTACGTCATGTCTAAGTTAGTTATAATAACACATCAATGAATTTTTTTTTAACGCACAGACTCAACGTAGCCCCGCACTAAAATGCTAGACGAACGAAGACATGATACGGGCGTTCTTAATGTCAAGATACGGTTATATGTGTAGTGGGACCCTTACACTTTTTTGTAGCAGTAAAGCTCCTTGTGAAACAGTTCGTCAAAGGGGCGCTGTTACTGCGTCCGTCACCCTGAGACCTAAGTCGACAAGTCTCAGGTGTCTGTAATTTCACCACCACCCTTACCCTTCAAAACCGTAACGAAGTATCCCGGTTTGCTAGGTATAGTGACAGGTAAGGTGGCAGTACTTATACAGCTTACTGCAATTTTGGACCGAGAAAGCGTTGCATATTATTTTTATGTTCTTTGTATTGCGATATAGCTAATTACTATTTTTAGTAACAGTAGAGCGCACTTGTGAGAGAATTCGTCCAGGGAAGTACTGCCACCTTACCTATTTCTGCTGCCAAGCAGTAATGTGAGCATTATTGCATTCCAGTTACGAAGGGTAAGGGTGCTGGTGAAGTTACAGGCACATGGGACTTGTCAATTTAAGCTTCAGGATAACGGGCGCAGTGGGCGTGCCCCTCAGATATTTGCAATTTAAAGCTCTGAGTGGCACTGCAACTGTTAGGGACAGGCAAGTAGCTTAACACCAGACGCACGACTTACTCGCCTCGTCACTCGACGTTATAAGAAAACCAAACCTGTTCCTCTTCCTTGCTCAGGAGAGTGTGCGCCCTGGCGTTGAGTCCCCTGGCCAGCCGCTCTTTCTTTTCCTCGAGTGTGGAGACCCTCTGTTGCGCCAAGTCGGCCTGTCGCGCTTGGAAGTCGTACATTCCTCCCGCAGCGCCGAAATATTGCTTCTCTGACGATATCCACTGATTGCTTTCTTCCATTATTCTTAACTGAAAACAAATACACTTTAAAGTGCACACATAATGAACAGACGCATACTTGCGCAAGTTTACTAGCGAGGCAACGTGACGCACCATTAAATCTTTCTACACTTTGGGCGTCACGAATTATTTACAACATATAAATGAGTAAGATTACTATTTTAACAGACATAGTTTATAATTTCGGCAATTATGATCCTTGACCCTAGTCTGACCGTTATGGATAAAAGGAACAGAACGAAATATAAAACTAGAATTAATTCATCACTAAGCCATTAAGTTAGGTCGTAAGTCTACTACTGTGGCCCTTAAAACATGTTCGTCTGATAATAACATTTTAAATCGACCTCATAAGGTCGTGGAATTACATCTATTTTCCAAGTTTTATTGAAATCTGTTACGGGAAAGTGCGCGAAACCGGATTCATCCCCTAGTTTGCCACCCTTAGAGGTGGAATATTTTCTTCAAATTTAAATGGGATAAATACTTAATTAAATTTTTATTGAATTGATATTCAATTATTTTTTGTGAAATTACTCCACTAGTTTGTTATAATTATTAATACAAAGATCGAACACTCAGAAAAAACACTCAGAAAATTTCCTTCGATCCGGTCGGATTCGAACCGACGTCTTCTTGCATACCGTGCCAGACGCTATACCAACTAAGCCACGGAACGAACCAACGGACCTCACGAATTTTTCTGTGCTTGCGTCGTGTCTTTGTACTTGGTTTTCATCTCAAAATTGATCTCAAAGATTTTTCTCAATCTGATCAATTTCGTTCCGTGGATGTAATAAAAAGTGTAAAGGGTATGCAAGAAGACGTTCGGTTCGAATCCGACCGGATCGAAGGAATTTTTTCTGAGTGTTCGATCTTTGTATTAATGATTATAACAGGAATAAATACTTTTTCACCAAAAAAGAAAAATCACCATTTCGTTCTCTGTAGTCTGAATGAACTTACAATTTTGTAGTCTACTTTATATATTATTTTACCTATTATATTTACGCAATTCGGTTCACAATTTCATGTTCTATGTCGTGATATAAACCAGTAAATTAGCAGTACAAGCGTCGATTTGCCAAATTGCAACACTTGGAAAATCAATAATTAGAAAATTTTAACCCCCATTAATAGTTTTCATCTTACACTTCTCTCACAATCGTTGACCTCTTCCTCGAGCTCTTTGATTTTGAAATCTTGTTCTTTGATTTTGAGATGAAATTCGTTGTTCCGCTTAGTGAGCTGCTCCTTGGTCTGCAGCAGCTGGGCGATGTCGCTATTCTGACTGGCGATTTTGGACTTTTGCTTCTTGATACGAGCTTGCATTTCTTTTACTGCTTCCTGTGAATCCATGTTATGCATGTTTAATTATAATTACAAGCTAATAGAACAACTTAAATACTTGAGAGAAATGAGCCAAAACTAGAGGTATTGTGTTCTAGGACTCCTGGTTCCTAAAAGAAATCTTTTACTGACAAAACAGTGAAACATTGAACTGCCGCTCAAGCTACGGTCTTTACCGGTAACAATGCCTTCCAGTATCTGCCGCACATTCGTTCGGTAACGCAGGTCCAGTATCTGCCTACGTCAATGGAAGTTATGCGTGTAAACAAAGTACACAAAAGAAAATAATCTAATTATTATGGTTATACTGTAATTATTACTTGAAAGAGGAAAATAAAATTTTAGCGGATGAAAGAAAAATCTTACGAAGAATTCTGGGACCGACGCAAAGGGAGGATGAGAACTGGAGTGCAAGGAAGAACCTTAAATTGAAAATCAGATGTCCGGGCCCAATATTGTGGGAGGAACCAAAGCTGCAAGACTTCGTTGGCTCGGATACGTGAGGAGAATGGGAGAGGATCGTGCGCGAAGAGAGCGTACTTGGGACAACCGAGTAGACGCCGACCTGTCGAACGTTCTAAGTACCGCTGGAGTGATGAAAAACAGAAAGATTTGAAGGACCTCGGTACTAGTGGCTGGAACGAGCAGGTTCAGAACCGGGAAGCGTGGCAAAATCTCGTGTCGGAGGCCAAGACCCAGTTTGGGCCGGTTCGCCACCGAAGTAAGTAATTATTACTGTTCTGCGTTTTGCCTAAACCTGCAGTGTATATGCGAAACGCTCACCGACGTCGAGTTATGTTCATCTTTCGCTTCTTGCAATGCTTCCTGCAACCCCACAGTGGCCTGCACGGTGTCCTCCAATTGCTGTTTGCTATTGGTCACAGCTTGCTCCAACTCGGAGACTTCCAGACGCAATGTTTCGAACTCTTGTTCCCTTTGTTTCCAAGATTTGCTATGCTGTTCTGCTTCCTTTTTCGCCTTTTTCAATGCTTCTTCTGCTTTCTTGAATTCTCTGAAAAATCAGACCGGATATCAAACACATAGCTGTAACACAAAATCGTCAGTAATCTATGACTAAGTGGAACATGCTAGTGAAAAATCTCAAAAGTTGACTACTGAATATGGGTCCACAAGGACACAGCATGATACTGATAGAACAATAGTAAACTTACCTTTCTCTGTGCCCTTTTATATCTCTAACTTTGGCTTCCAACTCCTTTGCTTTAGCGGCGGTTTCCTTTTGAGTTACTTTATCTCGTTCCACGGCCTCTGTTAATTCGTTTACCTGACAGAAAAATGACAATATACAATACGCGCCGGCCATTCCAGAAAACAAAAACATACGATAAAAACTATATAACACAGACAATAAATAATATAATAACGCACACACTCCTGGCCCTGCACTGGGAAGTCCTGTATCGCGGGTGCCATGGACACACAATATAGACAACCACACATTGTACCCAAACTCGGGAGAGAAAAAGCTATTCAAAGGCTGGAATTGATAATACTTTTTAGACAAACACGTAATATTTTTGCTTAAGTGTTATACTATCTCAGCTCCAATACAATTTTTTTCCGTACTAAAACGGTTCTATTTGGCGGGTCGGGCGGTAGGGGCATTGGCTTTATTACAGGTTTTATTTCTTATCGAGTTCTTGGGTTTGGGTAAAATTAAAGCCACTAAAAAAATTCTTTTTAGTTCTATTTAGTTCTATTGATATTTAAAAAAATGCTATAATATGTAAAGCACATATTGAATACAGCGGTTTTCTAGTAAAATTTCGAGGTAAGTTTGTATTTTATTTTTTCTATCGTGAAAATTTTTAGGAATACTGTTTTCACACCGTACACTAATCAGTACATACACTATTTTTTCCTCACTGTTTTGCAGAACCAACCAAAGCCATTTAAGGATGTATCACCTCTTAATATCAGACGCGTTTATGGTCTAGCATGCGCCTATTTAAAAAATTATAAAAGACACATATTGTACAATCCTCTTCGACTAAACTTACCTGTTGCCGCAAGGACTCAATCTCTTGGTGCAGCTGCGCGTGAGTAGTGGTCGCAACTCGCGCCTTCACCACTTCCAACTCGTGAGACATCATTTCGTATCTATAATAACCACGTGGATTAAATCCATTAGCACAGACTCACTACGCACCATAGCGGGGATAAATGATATAGTTAGGTCTGTTTTTATTTTATGACTTCGAGTAAAGGGACGAATAACTTGTGGTTGAAGACTGTACCACTTCAGTCAACCGTGACCATGGGACCTGTAAAGGGCCCGAAACGTCGGCTTGTTTGAAAAAACAAATATACACGATTTAAATCCGGAAAAACAGTTTCATTTCCTATGTGTAATTTACATTATTTATTAATGTGTTGAGACAAATATATGATTTATTATTACTATCATCTTTATAGCAAATATACGTATATCCAACCTGCACGACCTTTAATTAACTATACCATGTTTTACGAAAGACCATATCAATCGATCGATAAAGCTTACAATTAACCTATGTCGATACTCTAAGATACCCGGTTCTTATACCTTAACCTTACGATAACTCAGTTGTCAACCGATTCGATTTGATATCGTACGATTTCTTTTCATTTTTATTCATAATAACCGAATCGCACGTCAAACTGTCGTATTCGAAACAGAACCGAAATGACGTCACACTTGTACGTTTACTCGAGCTTCTCGACCGGCAAAGGCCACAAACGTTATTTAGAACACAGTTATCGAATGAAACTTACCGAACGTCCCATAGTTTACAAAGCAAGAATATAATATAGAAACTTCTTATTATTTTAAATAAAGTCATTTTGTTCAATTTTAACAATTTATTTTAATTCAAGACTAACGCATTCCTATATTTTAGGACTTCGAATTCTTAAAAATTTAATAAGGAAGTCATCCTAATATTAATTTTACGGCTCACAAGGTAAAATGTTAAGTTTGTTTAAAACTTGGTCTACTCAGAACCAAATATTCGCTTAAGGGGTCAGGTATCTAAGGTCGATTGTACATTGACTTGAATAATCACCTCTGTTGTGTGGAAGCATATTTATCAGCTACACGTTGCATCTGACTCAGTTCGGTGGTACACTGCGCGAGCTGTGACTCAGCATGTTGCAACTGCCGTTCTAGTTCTTTTAATTCTTGGATTTGCACCAGGATGGAACCACCCTAGAATTAATTAATTAAATTAAGAAATGTGCTAATAAACTCTAATAGTAAATTTAATTATTTTTCAACATACTTGTACGTAAATAGTATGCTTACATGCAATAGAACTATTTTTTTCTTCTCATTACAACCACGGTCCGTAATGAGAAGAAAAAAGGACCGAGCGTTTTATTTGGGATCCCCAATTAAAGCCTCCTTCGTAATTCCTTATTTACCACCCTTATAACACAATGCACTATTGTGTAAGCTACAAAGAGAAAACTTTTTAACATATTTGAATCAATGAATACTCTCAAAGTTTATTGCTCCAATTTCACAGTTAAATTCTGTTTAGGGATAGCGATTACGAATTATCTTTTTTTTTCTAATGGAAACTCCCTTTGCACCTTTCGATAGAGAATGTAGAGTAGAGTCTCGCCATGAAGTTTGGTTTAGGAGCCAAATTACAAAAAAAAGAAAAGGATTCTCCTTTTTTTAGTCGCGTTTTACATTCTCGAGAAACTGTGAGGGAAAACATAATAATATTTTATTTATTTTATCTATTTCAAATATAAAAGTTGGAGACGATCTAAAATAGTAAGTATTAACGATACTTCGGGGAAGATAGGGCGTAGCCAAACTACGCAGTAAAAATATTTTCCCATCGTTTTTAATTTTACGTGAAATAGCCAGGTTTGCGCTCTTTTTCCCTCGAGGTATCGTAACTTTACAACATGTTTGCAAGAGATTGGTATTGAACAAACAGAAGCTTGCAATATAAGATACCAGGGTAGTCACCGCGGATAAAACTGTTTAATAAAATGAATAGGAACAGGAAATAAGACAGGAAGTCACCTTGGCCCTCGCGCCTCCGGACAGCGTCCCCGACGGGTCGTAGACGTCCCCGTCCAGCGTGACGCAGCGGCGCTTAACGCGCGGGTGGAAGGTGACGCGCTTGGCCGTGTCGGCGTCGCGGCACACCAGCGTGTTGCCGAACACCCAGGCCATGGCCGGCTGCAGGTTGCTCTCGAACGAGATCAGGTTCAGCGCCAGCTGCACGTTCTCCGGCCCGCCGCCCTGCAGGAAAACTGTGGTTGTAGTCATTGTTTTACATATTGAACCACCTCAACTGTGTCCTCGCCGTCCAACTAGAGAGCGGTCCAAAGAGTACAACGTCAAATCCTACACATTGCCGTTCGAAACCAATTGGACGTAGTTAAACAAAAAGGATCCAATGCGCACCCTGTCCGTCACTTTCGAGATATAGCTGTTTGAAGTTTAAGTGTTTCTCACTTTTGTTTTATTTTCAAAACTTATAATGTCATGTACCTCCAGGGATTTTTTAAATGTTTATATGTTGATATTTTTTTTGCTGATTTAAGAGGTTAGACTTTAGGAACCGTTTGGTGCATATAACTAATTTTTTCATAATTTCGTCGATTGGATCCTTTTTGCTTAACTACGTCCAATTAAGTTTAGTAATAAACTGATACATTTTTGTAGCGACCGTTATGACACAATAAAATAGCCCTTTTTGACATCTTTCGGGTTTTATTACAACCCCCAGGTTGCCACTTGCGATGTACACTTACTTAAATAAATAACACTAGTGACAACGTATCCATATTATCGTAATCTATTGAAATGTAATTTATGAAATCCGTTTAAAAACCACAGAAAAATAGTTAGTTGCCTTCGAGTCGAGTACGTGAAAAGAATTTAGGTTAGAATATCAGGTGTAGTATCTCTCTCAGTGCCTAACAGCCTAGTGTGGCGAATACGGCATGTGAATCTAAGAGAATTGCAGCAGCATTTTATCCTTATTACGATTATAATTAGACTCACAATCTCTTGCGCCAACCGCACAGTGTTGGCATCCATGGCATAGCCGCTGATCTTATTCAAGGGAATGATAGTGGTGCGGGTCTGCAGATTGCCGCGCTGCAGTAGCAGTTTGCTCGTCACTTCCGTGTCCACTACCACGTTGTACAACTATTATATAACAAAAAAAAAATAAACTATATTGTCGAAACTACACAAACACAGATTAAAAACCCAATTTGTTTCCATTAATTTTCAATATTTGAATACACACCCGTCCTCCAGCAGCGGTTTCCAAGGCAGTGCAGTACACTGGATCACACACATCAATGAGTCTGCATACAGTACCTGAAGTAAAACATTTACAAATATTCATAATAAATAAATAAATAACAAAATATTGCTACTAACAGTATCCGGCACATCGAAACATTGGCAGGAACACTAAATGTATGGAATCCATTTTATCTTTTACATCTGACGTGGAAGTGTGCGGACTTTAAAGCGCGAATACACAGTCACGCTTATGTAAACTTTATTATTTCTTAAAACAGTAAGCAGTCTTTGGTTCCACATAAGGGTAGACAAGAGCATGATAAATGCGTACAAATGTGTATTTACAAAGAGCAACCCTTGGAGTTTCTAACTAATTTTCCTAAGATGAACATGCCGTGTAGAGATTAATCAAAGTGATGATTTCAAGTGTAAGTTGCTTACCAATGAAATAAAGATAATTTTTAAGTTTGCGTTAATCGTTTGCCGTTTTGCACAATCCTGAAAAATCTCTCTTTGATTGATCGATCTTTTCATACGAGCCCTCCCTATTGTTCTCACTACGTACTCAGCCTTTTTAAGACGATTTAAGATTTGATTTGATACCTTTTTCGCCACTCCACTTTCATTCATCAACCCAACCTTTCGAGTTCTTAGGTTTTCGCGATTGTTACACATAGGAAATGAAACTATTTTTCCGCATTTACATCGTGTATATTTGTTTTTTTTAAACAAAACAACGTTTCGCGCCCTTTACCGCTCCGACGGTCACGGTTGACCGAGGTGGTACAATCATCAACCAGTTAAGCACTCTATTTTTCACTACAGTTACAAAAGTTATTAATTAAATACCTTATTTTAAGTTTTTGTTTTTAAGGTTTGTTTGAAAAAACAAATATACGCGATTTAAATCCGGAAAACTAGTTTCATTTCCTATAACCCAACCTTTGTCAAATTTTGTAGGTAACTGCTCATTAAAACCACACCATAGACAGATCACAGAATTCCTCGCTCCATGAAGAGCAAGAGCCATCAACCAAACAGTCCACACTGACCGGACACTCTCCTGGAGTCGAAGTCCCTTTGTGGCGGCGAGTACTTGAAATCGCAGCGCTGTAGCCTCGCCGACAATCTATCAACAGCATCGCGCTTCTGGCGGATGTCGCTCTGCAGCGAGCGCACCAGCTGCTTCAGCTCCGCGTTGCGCTCCTCACTGAAGTTCATGCGGGACAGCTCCGCCTGGAGTCAAAGGTTTTTTTATGACACCAAGTGATAGGACGTACAAGTCGAGCGCCTGCTAGCGACACGCCTGTGCATGACAGTTGCAGTGCTATTCAGAGCTGTAAATCTGAGGGGCACTGCCATTGCGGCCGTCACTCTGGAACATAAGTTGACAAGTCCCTGTAATTTCACCAGTACCCTTAACCTTCAAAACCGGAGTTAAGGAGACTGGTATCATGACTGTGGCATCACAGTACATTTACTCAAATATTTTGTATGCCCGTAAAAATATACATAATTTCAATACGAAAGAAGATATCCATAATATTAACCTTATAGCTAACACGATTTCGTTTAACCAAGGTAAACAACTCTATTATGGGAAACTGTCTGTATACGTTTTTACAATAAGATTCCGGAGCATATAAGTTATATTACATTATAAGTTAGCATTTAAGTTTATCATTTCGTAAGTTTAAAAACTACATTAAAAATATTTTGATCGAAAAATCATATTACAAAATTGAAGACTACGTGTTAGATAAAAATGTATGGAAATACGACACGGCTTCAGAATCCACACAAATTTGATTCAAAGTGTATTCCATAGCATTTAAGTTTATTTAAAAAGAGCAATCCCTAGAGTTTCTTGCTCATTCTTCTCAGGGAGGTCAGCGTAGTGAACGAGCAGTAACTTAAATGTGACGTTTTTAAGTGTAAATTTATTTTACCTATGGAGTAAATAATCTTTGACTTTTACTTTGTCGGAAGAAAGTAATGCTTACATTACTGCTTGGCGGCAAAAACAGGCAAGATGGCAGTATTTTCATGGGCGAATTCTTTCACAAGGAGCTCTACTGATACTAGCGCAACTAAATAAGTATATAAATAACTCTGAAAGTTACGTAAGTCGTTTCAGAATTGTATGTATTGTCTACGCAATTTATTAAGACTGCCCAGAGTAGGCGAAAGTCATCTGTCTTACTACAGGGTGAAGTTCCATTTTCCTGTGTATCTGAACCTGCCAAGCTAGTCCCTGATAGGTAATTTTTTTTTTAATTTACACTTAATTATTATTTTGCTGGTGGCTCACGACGATAATTACGATTTGTTTGCCGAATTTTATATCTGTCCGCGCCGAGCGCCGCGTCGGATAGAGCGAGCTGCCCTGCCTCCCGCGAACGTCGTAGGGCGTATATAAACGGGCCCCTTCACTCCCCGCTATCTTTTATGTGTGCTACGCCCACCTGACCAGTCTAACAATCTAATATTCAATACGTTCTTAAACCTAAGTTTGTACATATCGACTGTGAACTGGCAACCGGTACTATCTCAATTTTGACAACTTTACAGGATGAAGAAAAACTTGTTTGCGTAATTTAGATAGCATCTGGTTTATTAAATAAAGTCAAAGATTATTTATTCCATACGTAAAATAAATTTACACTTGAAATCGTCACATTTAAGCTACTGCTCGTTCACTACGCTGACCTCCCTGAGAAGAACGAGCAAGAAACTCTAGGGATTGCTCTTTTCAAATAAACTTAAATGCTATGGAGTACACTTTGAATCAAATTTGTGTGGATTCTGGAGCCGTGTCGTCTTTCCATACATTTTTATCTAACACGTAGTCTTCAATTTTGTAATATGATTTTTCGATCAAAATATTTTTAATGTAGTTTTTAAACTTAGGAAATGATAAACTTAATATATGCTCCGGAATCTTATTGTAAAAACGTATACGATTCCCCATAAAAGAGTTGTTTACCTTGGTTAAACGAAATCGTGGTACCATGAGTTTGGACTTAGCTCTAAGGTTAATATATTAATGTTAATATAAAAATACCTAGTTTTTAAATATTTTTATTACACATGTTATTACAAAAAACTATGGAATTTCTTGCAACGCTGCGGAGTATGAAATAGTATAAAATGGTATTAAAAAGTGAAATCTTAACAAAATTGATACAGTACCGGTTGCCAGTTCACAGTCGATATGTTACTTGAAATTACAAGGTTTCATTGTAACCTAACTGTGTTTCATCATTTCTAAAAACCTTAAATATGTCAATATCATTCCTTTCACTTTCATAATTATTTTTTTTAATAACCTTTGGGTGCACTTTTTTTAGGCTATAAAAATTAGAAAACTTCTTTAATTGTATGAAAGCGGCTCTGTTTATTACCTAAAGTGTAGTAGCTCACCTGCAACTGTTCCACCTGAGCCTGTTGCCGCCCGATGCTGTCCTGGTCTTTTTGGAACTGTGCACTGCTAGATTTGAATTCTTTCTCCAAAGCCCGAAGTCTCTCTTCCGCGTGTTTCTTCTCCATCATACTTTGCGATATGCGCGTTGATGCTTCTGAGGCCTCCTGTTTTGCAGCTGAAATTAAGTTTCGAAATTGTCAGTTACAATGCAAGTGAAAAATTGTAACTCAAATCTTGCGATGATAGGAGTGGGACTAATTGTCCCCCTTTTCGGATTTATAATTTTTACGGCAATTTTTTATGATATAAAGCGAGAGTGCGTTCCCACTACGTTTTATTTTTCGTTAGACGACATATCACGACCATCTGTCGTGACTGTGTCGTGGGCGTTTATTTTATCGTTGAACGACTGTCGCGTCTAGCTGTTGCCACAAGATCGTAACGACAAATAATCGGTTCACGGCAGCCGCCTTGACGGTTGCACGACAGAATCGTTTGAAGCTGCGATGATCTGTCGTCACATTTTTATCGTAACCTTTTATTTATTGCGTAACGATTGTCGTTCTAGCTCTTCCCATTGTCGTCGTAACGTCAAAAAAGTCGTGAACGGCAGTTAATCGTGTTGTTATATGTGTGAACAACTTCATTTAAATATACAAGGCACGACACTTTAAACTGCACGACTATCTGTCGTCACGACATAAGTTACAACATTAATAAATAAGTTAGAGGAACAACTCGTGGGTCTGGTGGTGCACGACACGCCAGCGCCTAACAGTCTCTGAGCGTTAAATCGCAAACCATTTGACAGTGCCACAGCGCTAGTAATCCTGAGACTTAAAGTTGACAAGTTCCATGTGCCTGTATTTCACCAGCATCCTCAAAACCGGACCGCAGTAATGTTCACATTACTGCTTGGCGGCAGAAATTAGGTATGGTAACTCTAGAGTTATTTAGGACCGAAGAAGAAGAGGCCAGGAAGTAAAGAATTGCCGGACGAGTGTTGAGCTCCTCGCTACGCTCGGCCTTGTGTTATACGAGTCAAGCATCCCCGTTCCCGCCGAGGTATATATACATATACATGATAAATAATTTTGAATTCCCGGTTGTCTCATTACAATAAAAGAACCGGCACTTTCAAGACCGGGATTTCCCGGTTCTTGAAAGTGGTTCTAAACCCTAATGTAAACATACAATAATTTCACTGTGTGCGATAGTACGCATATATGTAAATAAAAAAAAGATTCATGTATTTACATTGACTTACAATTATATGGACGACGGGTCCGCGCTAAAAAGTGTCCGCACTTGTAAGGCGCTAAAATCGTATACAGAGCGCCAAACTCCGCTTTAGTCTTCATTTGTTCTACTGACAGCGCGATACTGCGATGACATTACAATTTAAATTTCGAATAGGTTGACTTGGGACATTTTTTTCGTGGTTTTTGTATTAGACCCGTCGTCCATTTATTTGTAAGTCAATGTGTATTTAGATTAAATTTTTATTCAGAATAAATGTATCTTTACATTCTCCTTCATTTTTTCAGTCATTATTTCCTCGCATTGTTCGAGAAAGGAACTATAATAGACATCGCAGCGGGAACGGAGACTGCATTTACCTCCCAGCCTCTGCAATAATGTACATGCTATTAAAGCTAATGTCTAGTACATTACTGAAGAGGCCGGGAAGTAAGGGGTTGTATTAATACGAGTCAAGCAATCCCCGTTCCCGCCGAGGCTTGTATAGTGCTTTTCTCTAACAATGTGAGGAAATACTAAAAGATCAAAGAGGCAGATATAATAAAAAAAAGTAAAAAAAAAACATTAAAAGTAATGTTAGGACAATTTGCAATTTATTTGAAGAATATTTTAAAAGAATTTGCTGAACTGATGATGTGATTCACGTAATTCTCCAGTGCACGAGAGTTTGATAAGTTTTCATGTATCTTACTTTGCTCATGGCCAGCAACAAGTTTTCCATGGCTATTATTACCTCTTGTTGTAAATTAAGCGGAGTACAAACAATACATATATATTTGTATTTTTTCGACGAAAATACAAAAAAGACGAAAACGCAGAAAGGACTACCAAAGCGCTTTAGTTTATTTTATCGCCTATTCTTTTTTTTTTAAAGTGAGCAGTACAGGTAGGTATTTTTAATTCTCGGAATCACGAACACTGGGCAGTTAGCTGTATGATTTATTTTGATTTTATGAATCTTTTGCCTGTTTTTGTAATTCATTATTAGTGAGATAGATTTAAAAGTTTAGAGAAGAGGACAGTAATGGATTTTCATACTTACTTTGCAGGCCTTGGACGGCAAGAAGTCGCACGGTCCATAAATGACAAACTTTCCGTGTTGGTTTTTTGAAAGTAATGCAAACATTTCCGAGCGTGTTTCAGAAAAAACTATTAATGCTGAAGAAGGGCTCACCCATGAGCTGGTCCTGCAGCGAGTCGGTGCCTTCCTCGCAGCCCGTGCTGACGGCGAGGAACTTGGCCTGTGCCTCCGCCAGCGCGGCTTCGCCGGTGGCGCTGGCAGTGCGCAGGCTCTCGAACGTCGATGACAGCTGCGCACCGATCAATTTAGAGGGACTTCGGTTGCTTACATACACTTCCGGGCACGTCATTCGAGCCACCCTGTATTCTTAACGCGTCCTACAGATGTACGGGTATCCATAACGATTTTAATGATGGATGACACAGCAACGCGTTGGTCACACAAATTATTAGGGAAGCCGTGTAACAGGTGTAGAATACAAAGGTATCATGGAAAAAAATCCCCAGTTTTACAATTCAACATGGACTTATGACGTTGTAAATAACTTTTATCAACAGTGTTAAAATTGCACAATAATTTTTGAACAATTAAAAATTTGTTTCAAATAAGAACATTTAACACTGAAAAGCAAAGTGGCTCGAATTGTGCAATCCCATGGTTTGCCCTGCGGTATGGGTAATTTTCGTAATATTTATGTAAACACTCATGCAATTATTTATACTTTATACTTATGCAGTGCAATAAAATAATATTAATCACAAAGAAAACACTATAATATATGTTTAAAGAAAACTCCAAAGTCGTCTTCAGTAAATAATTATAAATATATTATTTTAATTTCGTTATAATTATTGCAATTTTTAATTTCAGTAGGAAGTTTACTGACCTGTATGTAGAGTTTCATTATTAATTATTCCTAAATTTATTTTAATAATGTAGCTAGTAAAGTAAGGACATAGTGCCCTCAGAATGTTGCAGTGCCCACACGGGGTGTTTCATGACAAGTACCATTAGCACAAGCACGCGTGGTATATAACCACGTAACTTGCAAACAAAGAATATGAATATTAATAGACTTTCGAAGGCAAGAAGCGAAGTTTTGCAGGGTCTGGTTTGCCTTTGATCAGAACAGCAAGCCAGGGCGACGTATTGCAATAAATTTGGATGACGATTCACGAACGTTGCGAAGTAGAAGCCGGTGTCCATGTTGGTGACAGAGAAAAGATAGACAAGACCGGATCACCTTTTCGAGTTCCACCTTCTTGGCGGCCAGCGCCTTCTCGTCGTCCCCCAGCGCGCGGTCCAGCAGGCGCGCGCGCCGCTCGTGCGAGGCCAGCGTGTCCTTGGCGGCCTTGAAGGCGGCGCTGGCCGACGCCTCGTTCTTCTCCAAGGCCAGCAGGTCCGTCTCCAGCTGGCGCAGCGCGCTGCCGCTCTCCTGCGCAAGCACGAGGCTCGTTTCAACCAGTTCTTCATACGAAAGTAGCAACATGAACAAGTCATGCGCCTGATGGTAACCGACACGCCTGTCCATAACAGTTGCAGTGCCACTCAAAGCTTTAAATTGCAACGATCTGAGGGGCACGTCTCTGCGCCCGTCAGCCTAAGACGTCGCCGCAATATAAATTGAGCCTAACCCTTTAAAACCGGAACACAGTAACGCTGACATTACAGCTTCGCGGCAGAAATAGATAAGCTGGCAGTATTTCCCTGAACAAACTCTTTCAAAAGGAGCTCTACTGCTACTAGATGCACTCGAGTTGCATGACGCGGGCCATCGTATGCGCCATTCATGACATCAAACAATAGACATATGTGTTTATAGTTATTTGAAAAATAACGCCTCAAATTCAGAATTCCTCAGCATTTTATTTCTATTTCATAATCATACTATCATAATCGAGATACCATAATATAATCCACGATGTTGGTATGAAAATATCAATATGTAAATAAAGTCAATATTAATATTAGTTACATGATAATTTTCTATATATTTTATTATTTCTTCATCTTGATATTAGATACTCGACAGAATAGCGCTTGCATATTCGGTACTCGGCTGAATAGCAAAAGAACAGGCCGAAAAATACAAACTTGACAAGAATGTAAGAAAAGTACTTGCCTCGTCCAGTCTCTTATTCAAATCAGCAATCTTGATGTCGATTTGTTTAAACTCCTTTGTGCTGTTCTTAATGGCCTCCTTCTTACCCTTGACATCATCTTTCACCTCTTTCACTTTAGCTTCTATTTCTTTGACTTTGTTTTCCGTTGTTACGTAACTGCGCAAACGCACAGAAATTGTATAATATCATTCAGACACAGGTTAAGCAAACTATTAGTGAAAATACTAACAACCTCCCAGGCCCAAAGAAAATGGACACTCTCCGCCCCTCCCTAGATTTAGATACCGCACCACGTCCCGCGCATTAACGGTCACATTGACTGAACGACAACAAGGTTGTAGGCGAGCTGCCTTCGCGCTAAGACGGCTTTGATATTTGAATATTTTCATTATTCATTACGAAACTTAACAATAACATCATTGTACGTTACTATTTATAATGGTCGTGAATTGTGCTGTGTACGGCTGTTTATTATCATATAAACGGGATAAATAGAAGAGTTCTTTCGTTTTCCGAAAGATATAACGAAGATGACAAAATCTTTCTTTGAAACTCATTCAGTTATAATTTTCTTCATTTATTTAGGGCAGAGTACCATAACTTCGTGAGTTAGTAGACAAAGGCTCTCGAATTTTCAATTTGTATTGCCAATAAATATTACGTAGTGTATACACCTAATTATTAAGTAGGTAATGATAAACTTGGTCGCGCAATTTCAATACCTTGGTTACCTTATTTAAAAGTACTGGTCTAAAATACAGCATTTTAAGTGCTATTTAAAATAAAATAAAATTTAAGTATGTATTTTTAAAATAAATCTTCAATAATATTCTAGTTGGGAATTAATGAAAAATATTATATTAATAATGATAATAATGATAATTTTTTTTTTAACGCACACGGTGCCATGGACACACACATAGACAACCACAAATTACACCCAAACTCACGAGAGAAATACATGTAGGCCATAAAAATATTTCTCCCGGCCCGGGAATCGAACCTGGGACCTCTGCGTGGCAGTCCGGCATAGTAACCGTTCGGCCACGGAGGCAGTTTAATTTATTATATCGATATAAATACCTGATGAACATGTGCAATTATTAGGATTCGCTTAAGAATTTTCGCCATGTTGCCGCTCTGACCACGTAACGTACGAGAAAGTGATGGGTAACCCTGTGACGGTGTGACCTCCTTACACCGTCATCTCACGTCTTTGTATCGCCTCTCTCCGCTTGTATCCTATTATTTTTTATTTTACATGTATTTAAATTTTAAATTTGAATTGTTTCATCTTCCTTCACGTTCTCATTTTGTTTTCGTAACACGGTCACACCCAGCTCGACCGCCACAAGAGTCGGAGCTGTTAATAAGCTAATCATGTGTAATAATTTATAAGTCTACACCCTTCATGTATCTATTTCTGTAATTCAGTATCTCGGCCCATTTAGGGGTAAGTGCCTTAATAATAAGGTGTAGGGAGTGTTTTATACTGTCATACCTGTTTTTTTACATTTACCTTTATATTGTTACAGCCTTTCTTTAAACTTTACTTCTTTAATAAATTTAGTGGACCGGAAGTTTCATTTCATTGCCGTGAACCTGTTCACGGCTAGTTAGGGTTACAACCCTTTCAACCCTCACGCACCCATTTGCGCGTTTGCAGATAGCGCCTTGCTTTATGTAGTAGTAGTAGGTAAATAATATTTCGACCGTGGTATGGAGTGTCTGGGGTGTGACAGGACTATATTAGGAACACCAGAAACGATCGAGTTTTTCCTGCGTGTCCCTCTACATAAAACTCTAACTAGCTGAACTTTACGATATTAATAATTTTTTTAATAATAAAAATAATAATAAAAAAAATTAATAATAAAAACTTTAGTTAACTGTACAATCAACTCCCTGAAACTTCCCAACCTCACAAACTTAAATAAAAAATGCGCTTTACATTTAAGTACAAATGTTGTAGTGTGACCATAATTTGTACCAAAACAAAAACAACAATTATACCGTAATAAAACTGTACTCACTTGTAGGCTACAACCAGCCTGGTGAGATTCTCTAACTCGCGATTGACCTTTTGGAACTCCTGGAACTGCGCGCGCTCATCTTGGAGCTTTTGCAGTTTTGGAGCTATATCCTCCCTGATAATCTAGAAATACAAATAACAAATGCTATTATCACTTCAGTGCACAAGATTTTCATCACACCTATCACCCAATGGAATAGCCAGAAACTACAGATACCATCACCCCTTTATTGATTTTTTTCAATGATTCATTGATTTCACCCCTTTTGCACATCAGAAATTCCTATCCTGACGACGACCTCCGTGGTCGAGTGAGATCTATCAGGTCCCGGGTTCCATATGTGGCCGGGTCAGTTTAGAAAAACTAACTTTTCCGTACTGTTTCGGGCCTGAGTGTTTATGGTGCCGCCAATTTCCATAACACAAATACTTTAGCTACTTACTTTGGGACCACAGCGACGTATGTTATGTTGTCTAATATTGATTTATCCTAAAGTTGCCTGGAAAAAATTGCTACATAACAAAAGTGGCTGCCTGTAGCACACTAACTTATTATTACAGTTCTGTGTTGCTTAAAATATGTAAACAGTGGCCCCTTTCTGAACACAAACTGTAACTGGTTCCAGATTAAAATCCTGAAATGACTTGCTTTATCCGGGAAGTGAACAACAACAAGATAGTTGGTGCAAAAGTACGTACATCATTAAGTTCTCTAAGCTTAGCATCTTTCTTCTCAATCGTTTTTTGAGCAGCTTGCTTTTTGGCCTCATACATTCTTGTACCAGCTGCCTCTTCTACCATGGATAGGATCTGAAATTTAAGTTATATGGGGTTTTCAGTAGGGGCATAACAATTTAGTATTTCAATAAAACACAGAAATGAGATATCGACCTGTTACATTTAAGAATGGAATTTAATCATTTTCATGTGACCACTGGGAGCATGTTTGTAGTGTTCTAATCTTTCTGGCCAATTGTCCACAAATATTGGCTGAAACGTTGGCAATTTCGCGTTTCATATTGGTCCTGATCTCATTTAAGAGGGAGCATGCCAAAAAAGTTTTGACGTTGGCTCCGCCCAAATTTGTGAAACAAATATATGCCTGAAGTTCGCGTGACATGCGACAGGAGATGTTGAATTTTGCGCATTAAAAGTACCAAATTCGTTTTAGCGGAATAACTCTAAAACTAAAGGGATTAAAAAAAATCCGTAGTGACAGTTGTCGATCATGCATAAATATAATTAATTATCTAATTTTTGTCCTAATAGCCTGTAGCATTTCGAGGATAAATCGAAAACATGTGAAAATTAGAGGTCATTTCGTGATTTTTATCTATCGAGGAAACTTTATTGTTTTATGTTTCTGATTAATGTCATGCTTGAATATATCGTGTAGTTACTCATACAATATTTTATTCTTAACTTTAAAGTGGATATACCCCTCTAAAATCAAATCGAAGATTAGGAATTTTTCCTCTGCTCCCTCTTAACATTGTGACCTTGTGGGCATAGACCAACGACTTAACGTAACTCCATAAAAAGTGTATGGCCATTCCACCGGATCATTTTGCAAAGTAAAAGAAAAATCATTTTCCTCTCAAAATTATTTTCGAGGTTATGAAAATTCGAGCGAACGTTATTTCTGGAAAACATCATTTCGAACTACTGATAGGTGACCGTTAATTCTTACCAGTCGTGCTAATAACTTGAAGAAGTTGTTTCTGTGGTGTATCACAACCAGCACATATGCTGATAGCAGTCCTGCTCGATACGCACATATCAATAGCTTGTTCTTGAACCTGAGCCCTTGACCTCAGCCGACTGTGCCTTTGCTAGGGAATACTGCCTCTCCCACGGAAGTGATACACCACAGAAATAACTTCTTCAAGTATTAGCAAGATTAGTAAGAATTAACCCATTTATGTACAAAACAATTGAGGTCATTTCAGTGGCAGCCGCACCCCACATGTCAGTGATCTCGAACACCTGATCGGGATACCTATTTAAATTTTTTGGTTTCAGCTTTCACAAGACCCTCACCACATGGGATGTTAATGTTGACTGTGTCCGATACCAGTTTATTTGCAAGGATAGTCCCAGTATGTTAACAGACTAGTGCTAACAGTTTTCGAGTATTAGCTCCAGTGAATACTTGTAGTATGTCTTCTAAATCCTTATTAGATAAAGCATTGGCTTAGAAGGTACTGAGGTTTCTCATCCGCTTCATCCCTGGTCTTAGTGCTTATTCAAACCAGTACTGAATAACATAAGCCCTCATAGGCCTACATAGGCAATTTTGAACTTGCCTATGTTAATTAAATTTTTATTGAATTGATTTTCAATTATTTTTTGTGAAATTACTCCACTAGTTTGTTATAATTGTTAATAATATAATAATAACAAAGATCGAACACTCAGAAAAAACACTCAGAAAAAATTCCTTCGATCCGGTCGGATTCGAACCGACATCTTCTTGCATACCGTGCCAGACGCTATACCAACTAAGCCACGGAACGAACCAACGGACCTCACGAATTTTTCTATGTGCTTGCATCGTGTCTTTGTACTTGGTTTTTCAACGACTTTTTAGTCGTAGCGCCATCTATGAGAAATCTTTGACAGATTTATCACCCAGTTAGTACCTTTACAGATACCAGTCCTGGCGAGAGATGTCGCTATTCACCGTATTAATTAAATTTTTATTGAATTAATATTCAATTATTTTTTGTGAAATTACTCCACTAGTCTGTTATAATTATTAATACATTATTGCCTATGTTATTGAAATTTTGAAGATTGGTAGATTTCAAATTAGCTTTATAATTGTTAGAAATTATATATTTATGGTAATAAAAATACTTACCTCGGGTGGTTTCATATTAAGAACTTTAGTAATGCGTCCCTGCATGATGAGGAAGTGAGGGTTGTTGACGTTAAGCTGCACTGAGCAGAAAAGGTCGCTGACACGCTTGTTCTGCACATTGATGCCATTTATCAAATACTTGTTCTTACCACCCATTACCACCTGGAATTTAAATTGTGGTAAATAATTGGGAACACTATTATTATTACCAGGAGAGGGTTTTTCTGGGTCGATGCAATTAAAAAACTATGATTTGCCATAACTATGCTCTAGACAAATTTGATGTAGAATAAATGTTAACAAACAAAAACATATGATTTTTAGGGTTTTCACCTCAGACTGTTTTACAGTTACCACAATTTCAATACTGTTCCCTGAAATTTTATTAGACTTCAGATTTTACTAATATACTGATCAGATAATACCAATCATGTCATGTCATGTCTGTGATGAATTTTGTTCAATAAAAAATTTCATCAATTACTAGTGACTTGAAACCACTGAAAAATTTGTTTCTTACAAATTACCAGTAAAATTTAATTATTTTTAAAACTGTATGATCCTTATTGATTTTTAAGGGAGAGATTGCAAACATTTGTAGTTCGAGTAGTAATTGAAGTTCAAAATCAGAAATAGTGTCAATTTCTGAGATGAGATACATAGTATATTAATACAAAATAAAATCTTACAATTTTGTTTCTTTCTATCTACCATTGCCTACTATTTAGCAGGTAATATTAATAGGTATCAAAAATTTATTTATTTTATCCATAAATCCTGGTTCCGGGTCACCGAGTCGCTAAAAGATGACATGGACATAGAGAGAGAACGTAGAACGCTGGCTGTAAGGAGTAATATTTTGATCCATAGATTTGCGAGGTGTACAGTAGAAGTGAAGGTCACCCTGTTCAAAACCTACTGCCAATCGTTTTACAACTGCAATCTGTGGATGGCATTTACTCAAAAAGCATACAGCGCCCTATGTGTGCAATATAACAATGCATTCCGAATGCTGTTGGGGCTGCCTCGTTACTGCAGCGCATAAAAACATTTGCAGAAGCACATATGGATCATTTCCAATCCATAATGAGAATGCGACAAGCCTGCCTGATTCAGCAAGTGCATGCCAGCACCAACAGCCTCCTGAGCGCAGTAGTGGACAGAGTTGACGGTCCACTTAATGAACATATACAGTAGCACAATTAGTTATATTAATATGTGTGTGTACATGTACAGGATGCTTTTTTAGTGTGGATGCATTTTCTTGGATGAATTTTTCAACATTATATAAAAAAAAGTATATATATATTAATTGTAATAAATGCTCTCAGCGATCGATGTATCTATTGGAGGGGCACCTGTTTATACATACCGCCATAATTATACTACTATATGTGTTCCTGATTTAGTGTTTATTTGTTAGTTATAGCTATGTACTATTTGTAATGTGTAACTGTTTGTTGACCCCAATAAATATACATATAAAAAAATACTTTTAAAGTACTTTTGTAAAAGCAAATTTCATGTTTGGCCAGGTGCAACTGCTACATAATTCAATTACCTACTTTAAATTTAATTACATGAGAAGTGGCCAGAGCCAGCATAAATAATGAGCATTAAGAAAAAAATTTATTTTCCATTGCCATCACTGGTTGCCTAGCAACATTTTGTTATTAAACATTCTATGTTGAATATGGCTAGAGTACAGGGTGCCTTATTCAGAGTTTGTGTAGCCATTCTTCGCTGCCACCAACACCGTCACTATTTACAACTCAAAGCTTTTGCCAACAAAATTGAATACTAATTTGTTATAACTGACAAGGGCATGTGTTTGCTCAGGAGTGAGTTTTGTATGTGTGAGGAAATGTCTGCATTCAGACAATTATTGGGTGAGTTCTAGGCCACAATAGTGTAGTGTACACTGTCAATATAAGAAGGCAACTATTATTTTGCACTTGTGTTGGAGCTCGCATGCCGCTGGTGAGACTTTGCAATTATAATTCGCACTAGCACTTGCCTGTCTGGTAACTGTGATTTCGTCTTGGTTTTCATAACCAATTGGGCACTGATTTTTGTCGCGATTGTCAAAGGTAATGCTGACTGTAGCCTTCGTGATGCCCGCTTGCCCATGTTTATAGATTAACTCCTGTAAACTCCCCGCTCTCACCTGAAAAATCGACAAAAATATGTTTTGGCGGGAGCGTCAGACAATGTCTACATACGTTGTTTACGACTTATAAACAAACTATAGTCGACTTACATTGGACAAGTTAGTGATTCCTAGAACGAAACATATAGAATCCAAGATATTCGACTTCCCTGTGCCGTTTAATCCTGTAATAGCGTTAAATTCTGGATCGAAACCGGTGATCTCTACTCGGTTTCCGTAAGACTTGAACCCGTCTAGCACTATGGACTTGATATACATTTTGCTAAAGAAATATATATCGTTTCACTAGTCAGACTACATGAAATCACCCAATAAAACGAAAGAAATTTAACAAAATTTCGGAAAAAACCTATAGTAGGAACCGTTGCAAAATACAATTTTTGTTTGACTTACTTTTTTTTTTAATTTGCTGTAACTGGTTATACATGGCAATAACGGCCGTTTGTCAATAATGAATAGGCGATTTTTCAATGACTGTTATTGTAAACTGTTTTCAGATAACCTGTTATTTCTCTGCTTTGTAGTATACATATAATACAACATGACAATGATAGCGAATGAACACTGTGTAGCGTTTCCAGATGGTTACGTTTCTTACATTTTTGGTTTTCTGGCGTAATAATGTGAGTAATTTTAGTTTTTTACGTAATTTTCGTAACTTTTGACAAAATTCAACTATATTTGTTAAATGTTAAATACTAAATAATTTACGAACACACCCAAATTAGACGAAAGTAATCCAGAGATGACGCAAACAAAATCAAATCAATCAATGGGAGCCAATAATTTACAACCAAGATAACGTACAGTCAAGAGCATGACGTGCTCTTGACATTTTCCTTGACACTTTATTACTTTGGAGCTTAGACTATGGAAACTTTGGACCCGTAGTGGCATAGAATTGGGTTTAAGTCTTAAGTGTAAAGCTAGACGTGCTCTTTATCCATACAACCCAAGAATACCCGGCCAATAATCCAAGATCATTGGTTCGGTAAAACTCGGACTGATGATTCCTGCCTGGATATTCGCGAAACGAACCGATAACACACGACCAAAGAACTACCAACTCGGTAATCTCCCAGTCTGTTAACAGACAGCCAATAATGGAAACCAAAAGGAACTTGAATTATTACGAACTTGTGACATGTAACTTTTGCACACAAAAATGTAACTTTTGTAATGAATTGCACGGCAACACTACGTTACCTGATAATTGTGGTTCAATCGTGGATAGTGGATAACACAATGCGATTAAATTTGCTACTGTTATAAAGCTATTGTTGTTACTAACTGGTAATCATTAACTAATGAATCAAAATAAAATAGCTGTTTTCGAATGATATTAACTGCATGTCGATATCAAATATTAAAATCGACATTATTAGAAATTACAATTGCTTAAAGCACAAAATCGTAGTTTCGATTTATGTCACTAAGGGTCGTATTCTAGAACACTACTCAATGCTCAAGTCAGGATTGCACTGGAAATACGACCCTAATGGCAGGGACTTGAGTATGTTTTCGAGTGCTTTAAACCATACTCAAATCCTGACTTGAGCATTGAATAGAGTTCTAGAATACGACCCTTAATGAGTATTACATTACATACGAATAATGCATTACATTATCTACTATTTCTAGCTATAACCAATCGATGAAAACAATTATGACTTTTTTTAATCGACTGACGGTTAGGAACAATGTATAATTTTGTAGTATTTACTAAGTATTTACTACTCAAATGAACGTAAAACTCGTTGTAAGATACAACTTAGTTTTGTTTCTGTTGTGAATAGCCCATTAGCATTCTAAAAAACACTATTTTCGCATTTTAACATCGATAATCGGATCACCTACGTAATCGATATTTTCGAAAGGACATCATACATACAATTTGACGTTTTTATTTTTTTGTTAGATTTTTTTGAGAAAGCGCGCCGATAAACGAATTTTTGTAGATTTTGTTCGTAAATTCTTCAATATTATGGATTATAACACATCTGGGGCAATAAGAAGTCCCTTCTCACCACGAGTTAGACAATCCATCACAGGAAGACGGCCGATAGGGCTTTCTTCAGCGAAAAAGAATCAAAGGTAAAATTATAACCTCTAATCCACTGTTTTCGTCAAATAACTCGTCGCTGTAACATTTCAGTGCAAAATTTGCATAATAATTACAATCTACATGTATCAGACTTGCTTACAAAGCCAAGGAGTTGTTGAAGAATTGGAAAAATATTGCCATGAAAATTAGCAAAAAATATAATCAATATTTCTAACATTTCGTCGCAAATATACAATAAAATATTTAAAATATGTTTGCAGCAAATTCCTTCAAACAGCCGAATCACAGAGCGGAGATGTCATCTACAAAACCCCTCATAGCACTGTGGAGACCTATGGCATGCCACTGCCAGTTATGGTCACGGAAACACTTACTTTTGGTGAGGAAGTAATAATATAATAATTATATTTATTTGCCGAAGTAGCCCAAGCTTTTGAATCGTTCTTTTCGGAAATTGCTGTGAACACTACAAAATCATTAAATTCCTCCCCTTCACTTGCTATTGATCTCCTAAAGGAAAATGTTAACGTTTGTGGCAGTTTATTTAATTTTCGTCATGTTAATCCACAAGACATCATAAAAGCTTTTAAGTCAATACATGTTAAAAAAACTGAAGATCTCTGGGGCATATCAACTAAAGTTATAGACTCAGTTATTAATCTCATTTCCCCACAGTTAGCTGTAGCTTTCAATAGGTGCGTCGACGAAGGTGTTTTTCCCGATTTAATGAAATACAGCAAGGTTATTCCTTTATTCAAAAGCGGTAAAAAAGTTGATTCTAGCAACTATAGGCCCATTTCAATTTTACCAGCTTTAAGTAAAATATTCGAAAAGGTTATGCTAACTCAATTACTGTCCTATTTCGGTAGGAATCATATTTTTCATAGTGAACAATACGGGTTTACTAGTGGTAGATCGACTAGCGATGCGGGGGTAGCGTTACTAAAACACATCTTTGATGCTTGGGAAAGGTCCCAGAACGCTATTGGTGTTTTCTGTGACCTCTCAAAGGCATTTGATTGCGTTGATCATAATACTCTTATTAGGAAGCTGGAACATTACGGTGTAAATGGCAAGGCGTCGAAACTTGTCTCGTCATATCTCAACGGTAGAATTCAGAAAGTAGACATAAATGGAGTGACTTCTTTGGGTTCTCCGGTAAAAATGGGTGTTCCGCAGGGCTCAATACTTGGACCTTTCTTATTTCTGATTTATATTAATGATCTGCCATTCTTTGTTAAGGACCATTGCGAAATAGTGTTGTTTGCTGATGACACATCCTTGATTTTTAAAACAGACAGACATGACATTAACTATGACCGTATTAATGATACCCTCTCTAAGGTAGTTTATTGGTTTAATGCTAACAATTTATTGCTTAATGCCAAGAAGACAAAATGTGTTAAATTTGAATCACCTAACGTAAAATCGACTAGTCCAAGCATAGAAATAAACGGAGAAAAGTTAGACCTTGTTAATAAAGCAGTCTTCTTGGGAGTGACCTTAGATAGTAAACTTCAGTGGTTTCCACATATATCGTCCCTGGCCAGCAGATTAAGCTCCGCTGCATACGCAGTCCGCAGAATACGTGAGCTTACCGATGTTAGTACTGCTAGACTAGTTTACTTTAGTTACTTCCATAGTATAATGTCCTACGGGATTCTCATGTGGCGTAAAGCGGCAGATATTCAAACCATATTTGTATTGCAAAAACGAGCGATTCGTTCTGTGTACCGTCTAGGCTCTCGGGTATCTCTCAGAGAAAAGTTTAAGGAGACTGGTATCATGACTGTGGCATCACAGTACATTTACTCAAATATTTTATATGCCCGTAAAAATTTACATAATTTCAATAAGAAAGAAGATATCCATAATATTAACCTTAGAGCTAAGTCCAAACTCATGGTACCACGATTTCGTTTAACCAAGGTAAACAACTCTTTTATGGGGAACTGTATACGTTTTTACAATAAGATTCCGGAGCATATATTAAGTTTATCATTTCCTAAGTTTAAAAACTACATTAAAAATATTTTGATCGTAAAATCATATTACAAAATTGAAGACTACGTGTTAGATAAAGATGTATGGAAAGACGACATGGCTCCAGAATCCACACAAATTTGATTCAAAGTGTATTCCATAGCATTTAAGTTTATTTGAAAAGAGCAATCCCTAGAGTTTCTTGCTCGTTCTTCTCAGGGAGGTCAGCGTAGTGAACGAGCAGTAGCTTAAATGTAGCTTAAATGTGACGTTTTCAAGTGTAAATTTATTTTACCTATGGAATAAATAATCTTTGACTTTGACTTTGACTTTGAAGAAAGCTGTGGTCTTTTAATCTGGTAGTGTATTACTTATTTGACAGTAATTGTTACGGATGGATGTCGCATTCATTGATGCTGATGTGGATGTGCAATATCCGCGTTATCAGCAACAGTCCTGGTTACTACAAGTAAAGAGTACTTTGACACTTTTCGGACTTAGGTAGTTATTAATTGGCTGATTGTTTTTAAGACTTTCGTGGTTATTCACTAAATGATTATCACTAGTATCAGGTTTCTTACCACGGTATGACTTCTTTTTATTTTCCCGATATTTCGGAACGGTTGCACGCTCCATGGTCACGGGTTGACTGGACGGCGGCAGATGACAGCTTTATGAGCAGACATATCTGTCTACCCTCTTGCGCTGTCGACGACTACCTTCATCGCGATTTGTTGTGGCGTTACCATTGCCACTCACTTTTTTCACACAAACCACACTCACTGTATCCATGTGACAGATAAAATAGCCAGGTCGCTAAGGAAGTTT